TCAATCCTTTCCTTCTTCATGATATTTTCTTCGCTCGTTCTTTTGATCCAAAAAGCTCCTAAAATCCATTTGTAGATCAAGACAGTTATATATACATATATCTTTTTTAATGAAATTTTTTTTCTGATTGATTTTTATTGCTTCCTTTTATCATTTTTATTAAATCTTAAAATTTTATATTTTAAGATTTTATGTAAATATTTTAAAATAATTGTTGTTTTGCTAAATAAAATATTTTATATGGTACGCTTGTTGCATTTGAAATCTTTTGCATTATTTATAAAATATTCAAGATTGTTTCCGGTTGTAATAGAATTATTCATAATAATTCTTTGACCACTAAGAATCATTTTCGTTAAAAACGTGCTCATTTCAACATTTGATTTGATTTATAATGTTGAGATTTAGTTACGTAAAATTTCAATTTTATATTATCTAGACTTTTCTGATATATTGCTAAAAATTTAAGTAATTATGGCGAGAGTTTGCACGTGTTTTCATAAACTTATTTTGTTATATCTTATCTTAGTTTGAATGATCTTTATACACTTAAATATCTATAAATAAAGCGTTAAGAGATGCTTGACTGCAAATATCCGTAATTTAAAATAGTTAAGGAAAATTAATTATAAACAAATTACTTAGTGTGTCATGTGTCATGAAAATAAAAAAATATATATGAGCCGTTGCGTGACCCTCTAAAGTACTATAAAAATATCGTAGTTAAAGTGACGATAATGACTAAATAGAAAACCCTGACGAAGTTCAAAGTACTTGTGTACCTCAAAGACTCTTAACCTACATTACAATAAATGTGCGAAAATACACATTTATTTATTCTTTTTCACATCTCTCTTTTCGTTCCTTATCACTTACTCGTACCTTATCTTGATCTTTATTTCTTTCACCTGAGCCTTGTACATGCAATTATTGTTCTTTTTTTCTCCTTCAAAAACAAAACTAACTTACAAAGCGAGGGGGACATTAAAAATCTAATTTTCATTTATATAGAAATACTAACGATTTGGTATATGCAGAATTTCACCAAATTAAAAACTTTACTCTGTTAATAATTCTATACAGATTTTTAATTAAGCTGGTGTAATTAAGATTTGAACATAATCGAAATTATTTTGAGATATAGTAAAATAAAAAGTGCCGATTTTTAGCGTGTTTTATCCCTGGTAATAAACTTTATATAAGAATATTCTTGTTTATTTGGAACTGATAATGTTTACGTAAAGCAAGTGTGATTTTATTCAATAAAGTTTAATGTACGCGAGTCTTCTATTAACTCTACACACATACAGATACACTGCGACATAAATGAGAGTAGTAGTATATCAATCTTAAAAAGTAGTTCCCAAGTTTAATAGTAATTATAATGAAATGATATAGAGGGATGAGAGATGATAAAAAAAATATTTGTTTCTTGGCGCCGTATATTATAACGTTTTCAGTATGTTTTTTAAATATTTAGCGTATATAGAGGTATATTAGAAAAAGGGTCCACGAGGGCTCGATTGTGGTCAAATGATGTACTGGACAGAATTTTTGCCTGACAAAAGGGTTAATAATTGATTACTTGATACTTAAGATATAGATATAATAAAACTATTAATATTACTACCTACTATTAAATATTCATTATCATTACTACGATTATATTTATATATATATATATATATATATATATATATATATGCATACACATATATGTATGTATGTGTGTGTGTGGTGTGCATGTACCTGAGTGCATGTGTGTGTTCGTGCGTGTGTGGGTGTGGGTATATATATATATATGTATGTATGTATATATGTGTATATATATATATATATATATATATATATATATATATATATAAATCATAAGTTAAAACAATAAATGATTATTATAGTAATTATGGTATAACGATTAAAAATAGAGATAAAATGGATTATTCATAAATATATACTATGGCATAGATTATTATGAGAACGATAATTAAATGGAGAAAAAAGATACTGAAGAATATACGAGAGCTGATCTCTTTATTCCATCCTTCTCTTTTCAATATCCCTATAATCCCAATAATGAAGACATTTCGTATTTGTTTAAATGTACATATTAGTATAGTTTATCTTTAAGTTATTTATTATAAAATAATTAATATGGTCCTTATACATTAGATGATTGGAAAATAGGAAACCGTAAAATTTTTATTTATTGTATGCATGTCAAATGATTTAATAACCAAATCATTTACTCACTTTTTTAAATGTTTCATATATAATTATAAAAATGTTCTTTAATAGTATTGTCAAATAATCATCTGATGTACAAGATAATATTAGTTTTTACAGATTATATTAATTAATTTCTAACATACAAATTTAAATATTAAGTATTATTCAACATTATGTACTAAAAGAATTGTGATATTACCTATAAAATTCAGGAAGTAGTAAAAAAATATAAAATTTACCTTTAAGCTTTTTTGATATTGTTATTGTAGTATTAAATTTTTAAATATTTTAATAACAATTTTGAATTTATAAATTTGTTTAATTTTTACTAGAATTTACTGAGATGTCTGAAATAAATCCTGTTGTAGTTAAGCAGTTGCTTGTAACTTGTATTTTGAATACATTATCAAACATTAAAAAACTAATAGATCAATATTTTGATAATATTGATGGCATACGTTCATAGTTAACGGTGGTAAATAATAAATATAAATCATTTAACTTAATAATAATATAAATAAGCATATTAAGAGAATATATTACATAAATATAGTTACCACTAAAAATAAATCTTTGCTTTATAGATATATAAATAATGAAAACATGTGCAGTAAAATAGAATTGGTAAATCAAAAATCATCAATCTTAAACTAATTTAAGCCTACAAATAGCATTAAAAAAAATTTTGTAAACGTATAGTTTTGTACATTAAAAATTAAAATTATAAATATGTATCTATTGATTAGTTAGTTAAAGATAACTGTAAACATAAATGTTGATTAAATAAAAAATTTGTTTTTATCTTAATAACTTTTAATTCAATAGTAGTATATGCCATACTAAATTATGATAATCTGTTTAATATGCACAAACAATATAAATATAACACGTAATACATATTACGATAATTTAATTTAGTCACAGAAAAAAATAATATTTGGGCCTTATTTTGCTATATTTAAAATTTACAATTTTAAATTAGATTTAAAGATCTTTCTTATTATTAATAATTAAATTATTAAAATAATTATGAAATGAAATTTGCTCAACTAATTTAACAAATTTAATTAAACTTTGTTTATGTTGAGTATAAAAATCATTTCAATAACATAAATAGGTTAAGAAATTAATTTATATTATATAATAATATATTGTCTAAAATAAGCAGTTGGGAACTTCTGATTAATAAGAAAATAGCCTTTTGAATCTAATACCTATCATACAATAAATAAAATTCTAAACATTAATTTTAAGATACATACTAAGTTTATTATAATGAAGCTAAACAATCACATAATATTTTATATAAGTCATATTTTTTGCATAAATTTATTTTAAAATGTTAATTTAAGTTCGAAATTTGAAATAATTCATGCTTATAAAATTGGGTATGAAAAACGAGTTATTATTTGATTATTAAATAAGGATTATAATTTATATTACCACTATTTAAATACATTGTATCATAATATTTCTTTTCGTAGTTATTTGATTTATTAATAGTTATATTCCATTATTATTTACATTGTTAATTATAGAATGAAATTGAAAAGCTAATAAGGTATATTTACGTATTTTTAAAATGGTTTAGTATTGGGAAGCAATAGTAGTACTATATATTGTATATTTTCATTATATTTTATTATATTTATTAAATATAATTATATTTTCGACTGCCACCTCAACCTTACAGGTTTCTATGAGTTAGTTTTTTTTTATATATTTAATATAAAAACTAATGATACAATTTTAAAAAGTTACTATACAAAATAAGAAACACGAACAAATTTAATATAAAAACTAACGATACAATTTTAAAAAGTTGCCATATAAAATAAGAACCACATGAAATTTTCATATATTACAAAATTATATTTACAATAGTTTTTCAAAAGTTATATCATATTTATATACAATTAATATTTATACTTAATGAAAAATATACTATTATAAACTGTAAATTATATTAATAATTCATTTAAAAAAGATTTAATTTTTAATTTACACAGTTTTAGTAAAAATAATCGTATACTAAATATATCTTAAAAGCGAATAAGGTAATAATTATATTATAATTAAAATAAAATTGTTTAAATATTTTTAATGATATATAGAATATATATGCGTCAGCCTTCAATTGTATACATCAACGCTGGGAAGAACAAAGTTTTCCAATTAAAATCTTTATTTATGAAATATTTCTATATTTTTTTCTTAGATTTTTTTTAATAAACATTAAATATTTTAATTTTTAAATAAACTCAAAAAAGTTGGTTCTGTTTCAAGAGAAGCCATTGAAATCAAACTTTTATTGTTATTTTTGTAGAAACTGAAAGTTGGTAATATTCGTCATTCAAAATTAGATTATTTCTTACGTAAATAAGTTCTGGATTTATCATTGTTTCTCTTTTGAATTAAGATATTAAATTTATGCTGATATTTGTATTTTCTGGGTAATAAGTCCGACTGGGAGTGTAAAATAATGGATAGTAGTAACTATATTAAAGTACATTGATTAACAAAAAAAAATTTATTTAATACTTAAGCTTTGCGAATAATATACGTTCTAATATTAGATGAGCGTATATGACAAATACAATGTGAGTAATTGATAAAAAATAATATAAAAGGAAAGAGGTGGTCCACTGCTTTAAAATTGAGTGGTGGGATTGAAACTAAAGATGAAGGAGCGACAGTTGATTAGCCTGTCAGGTGAATCGGATCAAGGGATTTGGGGAACTATTTCACTCTGTTTTGCCGATGGTCCCTGACAGGAGGAGAGACAATGGGAGTCGGCATGACAGCAGCACTGATGAACAGCGAAGTCAGCACCAGCGTCAGCAACAGTGCGGTTGATTTCGCCGGAATGAACAGTAATGGGGCCATTGGAGGTGTTGGACCGCAAAGAGCTCATACGCTTTCCAGCAACAACAGTTATCATCCTTACCGGCGATAAAAGCACGTGTTATAACTAGCGAGAAGAAGCCGCAAGTCTTTCACTTTCACCCCTATTATCTACAATCCATTCTAACCTAGCTCACGATCGATATTGCGCCTATCTCATTTATCGTGATTAATCATTAATCCCTGCATCTATTCTACGCCAGACAACTATAGTTGTTAAGTTGAGTAAGTAGCTTAAGCTTTAATATATTTAAGTTTTCTTAATTTATCGTTAATGTCAAATATAAGAAATTGCTAAGCAGATATATAACACTTACTAAGTGTAATATGCACGGCGTGCGTATAAATTTATTAAAACTGGAAGTGCAATTGTCTGTATAAAAGAGAAGTATAAACAACTGATTTGCGCAATTATATTATGCAATTTTTTAACGCGTAGAATTATCTCAATAAGTAAAAATGAAAAAAAAAATGGAATAAACGATAATATTTTGTTACATATAATGAAAGGCTTTGTTTCGGTTAATAATTAGTCGCAGCTCAACTCAAATCGAATATTTTTCCTACTATGAAATAATGCTATGAGTAGTTGAATATTCCGGTATTTATAATCATCTTGGTGATGGAGGTTAAGCTGCTTCTGGCCATGACTTGCAGCATCTTCTGTCATTGGCTTTATTGTCCAGCTACCATCGTCAATAATAGTCTATGCACCTGTTTGTAACCTATTTCCTAGGCAAGTTACATATACCAGCATTCACATCCCTTGGGTACAAGAAAACTTTATTCATTAAATTACTCTTACTCTTCAACTATGCCTTGGTGTCCAACATAGAACTTTATTAAAGAATTTTAAGAGGATCTTCCAATATCATATATTAAGAGTACGTCACAATTCTTTAAAGCTATAGAAGCAAATGTTAATGACAGGTTTTTTTTATATGATCACAATCTTACTATTGTAAGAGATTAGAATTATTTTAAATTTGATTGAAAATAAGAAATTATAATAGGTATAAGTCACCTTTTTTTACTATTTTAATTTTTTACTTTTTGACTATTTTAAAGGTTTACAGAAGGAAGCTCAAGCAACGAATAATTAAAATAGAATGAGGTTTTTAATAAATTTTAGCTTTATTATCACGTGACTTTTTGTTCTATTGCAAGTACATTATATAATATTAAATATTCTGAAATTCTATTAATTTATTATAAAAAATTAATAAACAGAATTTTCATTAACATTATAATGTTTCTTAATATTTATATTACTTTAAACATAATTATTGTAAAAATAAAAAGTTAGTAAATTTAATTACCATTGTTAAATATTATGATGGATGAATCAAAATTTATAGGAGATAATTGCAGTTAAATAATTAAAACAATATATATTCTTGAATATAAAATTCTTCGACTTATTATTCATTTTAAAATTTTAAGTGGTATTTTTTGAAAATATTTTTAATTAATTCCTTAAGTAATATCGACATATAACACTAATAATATTGATTAAATAATCAAAATCATTGTTAAAACTTATTTCAAAATAGAGATTTGTATTTTATTGATATATTTTTAAGAGAAAAATATTCATACGGATTTAATTTATTACTATAAGTATACAAATTTTGTAAACGAGAACAAATTTATAATTGCTTGAAATTTGAATTGATGCTTTTGTATTCTGTTTTATTTTTGTAAAAGTAAAAATGATTATTACTTTTATATATTGAATCATAATTAATGAACCAGGAATTTAATTTATAAACTTTTTATATATTCTTTGTTAACTGTTCATATTCATATACTTATTTGTAAAATATAAACTAATTAAAATAAAGCTGCGAATATGAATATTAATATTCTATTTCATTAATCAATAATCATTAGTCGAAATACTATTTTTTTAAATCAATGGACATGCACAATTATTATTACGATTATAGGAAAATATACGTATTTAAATTATAATTTTTTGAATAACTTTATTAGTCATTAATACAATTATTCGCTACGATAAAATAATTAATACTCAAAAAGTTTTCTTATACAACCTATATATTATTCAAATTGCAATTGAACTGATGATCAAACTGTAAGTGAAAATGTAAAGTGTTTTAATAAATTTTTGTAATTGTTAAACGCCTTTGCTTGATGATTACTTCAATATTTTTTTCTCAAGGATTATTCATAACATATTTTGTAATTGTAACTACTTCGTTGAATTACTATTCATTTTTATCAATGCTATAACGGCTATATACTTAAATATTTGTAATAATAAATTTCTCTATAATGGTAGCACGTTAAGTTTTACAATTAACTTAATTAAATCCTAACATTTTGGAATTATATAATTATTTAGAGTTTAGTAATTATCGTACACGATATCTTTTCCTTTTTATATATTTAAATTATTGAAAATTAAATTTATCAAAATCTTCATTATATGACTTAGTCATATTAATTAATTATTGATTTGTAGTAATCATGCTTGTATTTGCTAAAATAAAAGAATAAAAAAATATTTTTATCAAGTAAGTTTTATGTTTTAAATATTTAAAAGAGAGTTTATAAGAATATATTAAAGAATTAATTTATAATTTTAATATGTGAAATAATTTAAAAATATATATTTATTACATATTAGATTATACGTTATCACGTTAATCATTTATTTGCAATCTACAGGTTCTGTAGATGTATTAATATTAATTAATAAGATTGTATTAATATTAATATACACGCATTAATGTTTTCCTATAAAAATGTTTTTAAAGTGAAATCAAGAAAGAATTTCAATAAACTTAACACAGAAAAACTCTCTTATATTCTATACATAAACGTTCAAAGGGTATTTGCGTTTGTATATTATCTACAATTTATTTCTCTCCTATACTAGACACTTATAAAGTAATACCAATATTGAGTATTTCGTAATCGTAAATTTTACTTTAAAAGCTAGCATATTTTATTTTATTAAATATCTTATATAATATATTGAAATACGTTAATTGTTGGATTCCCAACTATGAAACGTAATTATAAAATTACATATATAGATTTACAATTTCAACTAAGTTGTATCAAGCTTATTAATATAAACACTAATATAATTATTAATTAAAATTATGAAATCAAATTAATTCAAAATAAAAAGTAAATAATTAACCGTATTAAAATTTAAAATAAATAAATTAAAGTAGTAGCATTTCGATACTAATGTGTAATGTAAATGAATTATAAAGTAATAAGTAAGCGAACATTGTTCACACAATTAATTATAATTTTTCTTTTTTGTAAACTATTACTAATTATTATCATGAATATTTATAGATAATATTTTTATTGCTGTCGAAAAATAATTGTTTTCTGCACACGTAAAATATATCTCTTGTAGATATTTCTATTATCTCTCTCTATATATATAAGCCATTTTTAATTAGTCTTATAGAATAATGTCACCGTGATAGACTTTAAATCATTGTCGAATGGCTGCAATTAACAAACTGACCACCTAGTTGATTGCCCTATTTTTAAAAAGAGACCATATAAAATAAAAACTTCAAATTTTCTTTTACCTATGAGAATAATAAGATATTTTCTTTAAATCACAAAAGATGTTTATTTCTACTGAATACTCGTTTAATTTCAGTGGCTTAGAGATTTATAAAAAAAAACTTACCGACTACTTTTGATTAATTTAAGAAAAAGTAGTTGCAATAGGAATTCATTCCTGAGCCTGTTACTTCTATGCAAATTTAGTTTTTCGTTTCATTCTTTACTTAAAAAAGTATGATTAATATCAGGCGTTGGATCAAATCAAACTAAACGCATGGGAAGATACTTAATTTTTAATAAATTTATAAAATTATCATTAATGATAATATTTATTAATTATTTACATTAAATAAATCATATTATAAAAAATAATTTATGTATAGTAAAAAAATTACTTTCATTTAAGTGTATTAACGGAATGAAATTATGATGGAATTAAAACTAATTTTTAACCTTATATATAGAGTGAATCTTGAAAAATATATCTCAAGAATAGTCGAATGCAGCGGAATGTAAAAAATGTAAGCAAAAAGAAATTAAATTGTATAAATGCAAGAATGAGTGTGAGAGAGTCAATTACCTGAGACTAGTTATTGAATATAGTCAATGTAATAATATATTATTGCATAAAATGTCTTATACTTACTATAATATTTCGATTTCTAAAAATATGCATAGAATAAATGTAACGGTAGCTGACGGCAAAATGATCGAGGACGAAATCTCGTTGGTCAACGAGCCACGCAAAGTTAAATAATACCTGACTATTTATCACTAAGTTAAATGTCAATCTTTTTTCAAAGTTCTAGAAATTAAGCAGTGAACTATATTCTACAAGCTAAATTGCCTTTATATACTACAGTAGTGAGGATTGTTCTGAAGAGTTTAAGTGTAAGTTTTGACTTTCAAACTGTGGATCTCAGAAGTCGAGATTATTAGTGAACTTGTGCAGGTCAAATATATTTAAATAATAATAATTTTATATTCTTTCTAACATGTTTACCCAATCATACAATTTTAAATTGAGTACTTCATAAATTATGCGAAGGCTTCGATTCAGTCAGGGGTAACCGATATTGTCTACGTAGCGAAAAACGGAAGCGCACGTAAGCTTAAGCTTCATCGTAAATTGATCAAACAATGAATGAAATACTCTTTAAAAGAGAGATCATGAACAATGCTTGCACGACCTAAAAATATTAACTGACTTGACTTTAATAGCTTCTAAAATAATTTTCAACCGTTTAAATGTTATTAGTATCAGTTTGATCAGATTACAGAAAAATGTATGTAACTATTAGTTACATATGAAATGAAATAAAATTAGGACTACTAAGCAATGTAATACGGTTGATACATAATAATTATGTATATCGATTATCATAAAATATCGTATCACCTCTCATAAAAATAATATCAACTAGTATTACAACTTTTTTTTTAATTATAGAATTATTCAATAATGTCGCTTTTCTAACAAAGGATTATTATTTCGAAATTTTTCTTTAATATGACCAATTTTTTTAAATTTATAAGCCATAAGTAAATAAAATTTAAAAAACAGCATCTTTAAATTTAACAAATTTCAACTAAAACATTAATTAATAGTTCTAGTTTTTATCGTATACATTAAATTATTTGTAACAACTAAATCCCAAACTTATAATTAAGTAAATGCTATGAAAAAGAAAATTTTGAACTTTATGAATATCATTACATTTAAGTTTATTTTATAATAATTTAATATGTAAAATGAAATAATTACAATATGCATGTAATGTAATATACATATGAATTAATTTATTAACAATGAGGAAATTTCTTGTAATATTGACAAATATTCTAGTGAAAATATTCAAATATGAATAAGTATTAAATAAAAAATTTATTTCATCGGCCTTCAAGTCGTAAAATAAATACTGCAGGTTAAAAATAAAAAATACATACTGTAATGGCTAAAATATAAGTTTATTATAAAATATTGTATTTTTATGAATACCTTTTTTGTTTACAAATTCAATTTCAACTAATTAAACGCCTCATACGTTATGTTTTACGTAATAATATGCTTAACAATTTTATATAATCCTATATTAACTACATAATTATATACTTGTTAAAAAGGTATGTATGTTTAGAATTAATAAATGTAAGGATAGAATGTAAATATTAAATGATTTAGTTAAATTTTAAATGTTTCAAGTTTAATGTATAAATATGTTTTTACTATATATAAATTTGTATGTTTTGTTTTCTATTTTTATATATACTCTATATATAGATGGATATAAAATTAATTTTCTATCCATAAAACATCTTAATATATTAAATGGCTTATCTTAGAAAATGTATAATTTCGTTGTCTTTTCAGAAAATAGCAAATTATCAATTATATCAAGGACACGTTAAATTTATATATTTTTTCTAGTTGATTAACTAAAAATAACTAGAAAAAAATTTATTTTATAATGCCAAATTTTATCACCTTTGCATTAAAAATAATTTAATAATCCGTTATTGCCAATTTTACTTCATTTAAATATTGACTTTTACATTATATTCACTATTAAAAAAAAACAATAAATAAATAAAATTATTTTGAACAATGAAACAATATATTATGTAATTACTAATAAAGACATTTAATTTAATAAGAGAGGGAATAAAAATATTGTGTCTTAATCAATAATAAATCTATATTATCTAAATTATGAAAAAATATTAATGATTAATATACAAATAAAAATAAGTAGATACAAAGAGACAGAGAAAAATATTAAAAAAAAAAAATTAATATAAGTTTGCTAATAAAAAGTCAAAAAAATAAAATAAATCCATCCATTAAAAGTGATCTAGCCATTTTAATATCTCATTAAACTTTTTAATAACTATTCTTGAATATTATTGAGTATATGAAATTAAACAAATATTTTCCGTCAAATGTGGTTCCCAGAATTTTAAATTTTGCATTCTATACGATTATAAAATACAAAAATAACAGTAATATGTATGGCAAAAGTAGACTAAAAGGGAATGAAGTAAGACTCAATCGCGATTTACAAGCACAATGCAACTTTCAAAGAAGTTAAAAGGAAATAAAGAAATTTCAAGTAATCTTGAATAAGTTACAAACTCAAAGCCAAAAATCATTAACGAAGAAACAATGCTGAAGTCACAATCCTGAAAGAAAGCTCATAGTTCACGAATTGCTAATCCGCTGTGAAAACAATAACAATAAATAGAAGATCTTGCTCTTTATCTTGCAATACGAGATATCGTTATATAGTAGAACTTTAAAGAACGTGCTACTATTCTCATATATGTTTCTATACGTAATATATATGTGCATGTGTGTATATATATATAAATCAAATGCAAAAATAAAATCGACTTTTCAGAATGTATCAACATGGTACTGACTATTTTAAGGTGTTCTTTATTTGCTTTTCTCCAATAGTAATTGACATAATACCTTTTGCCCAAAAAAAGGAATCAATAGAAAAAATTTTTTTTTTTTTAAAGTATTAAGTAATTTGAAAACATTCATATATATATATATTTTTATGGTATAAAGTAATACCTTAATCTATAAAATTATTTACAATTCAAATATTTATTCTGAATACTTTCCTATTCTTTCTAGATATAGTAACATCAATTTTCTTTAAATTTTTATGATCGATTAAAAATATAATAGTGGAACTCATTCAAAAACTACCATCAGATACATAACCTAAACATACATTGCATATTAATAATTGTACTAATATATTAAGTAAATTATTAATTCTGTAACCTTGATCAAACAAAAATAATGTATTTTCTGGTTAATAAATAAGATAAGGTATCCAAGTATAATGAGTAAAAATACTATCACTTTAACTTCTTTGATTTTACAACTTTTCTTTCTGATACATTCCAATAATAAAGAAGTTGCGAAACAATGATTCCATTTGCTATAGTTGAACATACATACATAATAATTATTGTTTTATCTCCAGTTTCTTGAATGGATGTAAAAATTCTTGCTAGAGATCCAAAGAACAACATGAAAATGGTAACAGCAGATAACTGTCCAGTACTAGCATTAGAATAATTTGTATAACCTTGTATTATCTTGAACAAATATAAATTAATTATATTTTAAAACTAATACTCACTGTACAAATATATAAATTATAATAGAAAATATTTAATACCTTACTAAGTAAAATAATTGGAATATTTAAAGTTTGTGCAAACCATAATACTTTGATAGGTGTCAGACCAGTACCGATTGCAATTATTATTGACAAATAGGCAAAGACAAATGTTGTTGTCTTTGTTAATCCATTACAGTAATAAAATACTAAGCAGGCAATTGTAACTGTTTGTAAGGCTAAGAAAACTGCTTCACCCCAAGAACTATATTAAAAGGTAAAAAAATTATAAATTGAAATAATGACATTTAAATTAGTTTATTTAGGTTGCTGACAATCATAAATGAACTCGCCTAAAAGGAAATCCATTAACAAAACTATATGCCGCTGTAGCAGTAATGGCAAATAATTCTAACAATATACTAATAATGTTTATTCCCTGAGCACTTTTATTTTGAAAAATTTTTAAAATTTGTGGCAGTTTGACTAAAAGTAAAGACATAATATATAAAACTATAAGTAAATGATTTAAAGGCATATAACTATTAACATACCAAGTACAGAACCAGAAATGATTGCTAAACCTAGAGTTTTGCTTAGCGTTGCTTTGAAACATTCCACTAAAAAAATTTGTCCATTCAATTTTTTAAATAAAAAATTTATTTTAAAAATAAACTGAAGTAGTACTACAATAAAAATCTTCCATGTGACATAAAATATATAGTAAAAAACACGTTGCGTGTACAATAAGCTTCTAATCCCATTAAAATTAACGAATATATGTTGAAATGTATAAGTTGAAATGAAAAATTAAAATTATATAAAAGTAAAAGAATATACTAACTGTGGAAAAAATTAAAATCATCTAAATACACTTTTAAACATTCTTTTGGACAAACTAATAACGGTAACTCTCGTATAAATGTTGCCATGATTACCGTTCACTCGGTTTCTTTACAAGATTGTTCTTTAAACCTCCTAAGTATTTTATTTCGATTGTTCCGTATTTCAATATTCCACACAAGTTGAGTAGCTGATAATAGCGATGCACTTAGTTGAAACTACTTTACCATTAAAACAAAGACTAATTAGATATTTTAATAATGTGTAAATATATTAATCGTTAAAATAATACTTATGTATAGTAAAATTTTACTTTAATAAAAATACGTCCATATTATTATTATAAAAGCAGAAATTTCTCCGAAAATACTTGACTTCTTTATTTCCGATATGATTTGATTTTTCTTAATCTGCTTTTTAATATATTTATAAAATATGTATTTCTCATCTATCGCCATAAAATCGTAATTTTATTACTTAATGTTTAATATTTAATAGAATAACATTAATTTTATTTATAAAAATACTTTTATGTTAACAAAGTCGAGAAATCTTAATAGTTGGATGTCCTATACACTTTAGCACAATTTCAATTTACTTTTCATCAGCAGGCAAATATCAAATAGAAGACCATGATAGAAATGATACATGACAGCACGTATATCGGCGATAGTGTATATAAACCGTGGACTGCTCGATATTCTATATTAGAATTACCAAAAATATTTTAACAAGCACGGACACAATGGATTCATGGACATGTAATTACAAATATGTACACAGTTTACATTTTATAGTAATGACATTACACTTATTTGACAATTAAATAAGAACATTAATTCAGAATATTAATTTTTTATAATTTGTCATATAACTCAATTAATGGAAAGAAAGTCAAAAAAGTTTATAAAATGTCATGCGTAATTCACGAATTTTTTGCAAACCTCTTGTAAATTGTAATTGTTATGTGTGAAAAATCAAGATTTTTCGCAATATTAATTTAAAAAAAAAAAAGAAAAAAAAAGAAGCATTAAGTAGCATAATTAAAAAAAAAGTAATTAATTTTGACAAAAATTGAGAATTCATAAATACAATGTAATGCAAAGTTAATATTATTATCATACTATTTTTAATAATGTTGTTATATCATCGATTCATTTATTAATATTTTTTTTTTTACTAATTATCAAATAAATTTATCAATGTGAGTTTATATTATTAGAAATTGAGCATTACTGATTTTGTCACTAATTTATATTCAACATATCAGATGATTAAAAGTGAAGAATACAATAATTTATTAGATCAAAGCAGTTGGTAAAAATAAAAGTTTTTCATAATTAATTACTTAATTACTACTATATGGGTGTAATCTTTAAAAAATTATTTCCTGTTAGAATGTAATGAATTAAATATAATTATATAAATGAAAGACTAATATTCTAACTCAATCTATTATCGTGAAATCAATTATGATAAATAAACAAACTGTATAACGCATGTATTAACAATTTCTTATATATATATATATATATATATATATATATATATATACTAAATTTTAATAGATGCACTAAACAACAAATTCATATTAGAGCTAATCTATTTTTTTCGAAACTTTTAATTCACATACCGCAAATGATCGAAACTCTTGGAAGTAATTCTTTCAGAATTAGAAGGAAAGTAGCATGTGTATGAAGTTGCACCCGAAAGTATTGTTTTTCTAAGTATGTGACGTATTCGTTTGAAAAATTATCAATACTGCAAGTGTCCAAATCTCTCCATTAGGCGCTAAATTCTAAGTTTACGAAACACGAAAATACTTCAACAAAAATAAAAACAAAAACAACACTAACAAGTGGGTGTACGAATTGTTAGGTGAGTGAGTAAATTTATATGACAGGTAACCGGGGTGTTCAAAAGTAGGTCGGCCGAAGGTTAAACGGAGGTTAGGTGGGTGGTCGGGTACGGGTCGCGCGACTGGTACGACCTGTTCGGTGCCTGCCCAACACTTGACTAAAAGCTCAGTCCAGTGGTGGCAGTTGTACCGTCAGCTCAAGAGCGCTCGATGCTTCCAGCTTAAGGACCTTTACGAGTTTCACATGATAAAAAACGATGTCAATCTTCGAGGCCCGGAGCCAGAGGTGGAAACACGCCGGCCGCAAACATCAATAGAGACTAGGGCCCCAAAGAATCAAACTCAGCACTTTGAACGCATAAGAGAGACAGTGAAGAGGGCCATTGCTGCACAACATACCTTCATGATATGTGGTCGTGCACGTATCATTCGGGATTGCCTTCTCAATCGGGGTTGGTGCGAAAAACTTCAGCGAAAAAGTGGTCAACCTAGTAAGCGATTCTCGTCTCATATCCATATATTATCCTTATAGACTCTAAGAAAGTAATATATAATTAACATAATGAGGGTAAATACTCGATCAGTAGTCGGTGAACAACAACAAATGGGCGTAGACTCTAATTCAACGTTGCTTATGGCTGGTATCGGTGATCTCAACGAGATTCAAAACGAGCGACTACTCGTATCAAAAATGTTAACTAATCACACCGTTGATTTCCTGTGGAATTCAAGCTCTGAGTGGTCTTGTTGGCCATCGCAGGACAATAAGACCACCATATTCAACAGGTTTATCAAAGCCAATTTCACTTCAAAGGTAAATAGTAAGCGCAAGTAGAAAATAATGTAATTCATTCAAGGACTTTTTTATTACGACTTAATTAGGTGGGCCTGTGCTCGAACGTTCGACAAATGCACTGGTATTATGAAGCTGGCATCGCCAATATTCTTTTTCCCCGCTGTTACAACATAACACAATCTGAACAAATGCATGCCTTTGTCGAGGACTTTAGGCACGTATTGCAATTGCTATGAAACTAGTGAAAATATCCCAAATTTTGGTCAGATAAAAATTTATTCGCATCTTTTATAATACATAAATTAAATGTAAAATAGTGTTATTAGTAACATACGTAATGTACTAAAAAATTCATATATAACCAATATACATTTTACACTTATTTATTTTAAATTTATGTGAAATATATTTAATTAATCAAACGACACTGACTTTCGATTAAGTATAGGCTGACTGCATGCTTGTCATTACTCAAATGGCTTGTTGACAAAGTTAAAAATAACGGCGAGGATTCCTTAAAATCAGCATGTGGTACAATTCCACTTAGAGCTCTTGATTTTGCAATTGGTCGATGCTGTGATTTTCTGGGTAGTAAGTTGCACGAAGACATTGATCAAGATCTCGAAAAAGTCTGGACTCATCAGTGGGAGCAATTTATCGGCTGGTACTATAAGCTCCTTCATAATCATGCGCTCTTTATTATCACAAATGTTTCAATTAGTGTGAGTAACAATACATATGTTATATTTATAATATATATAGTGTTTCATAAATATTTGTACATCAATATTAACGTGCAGAAATACTTTCTGGCGGCACGATACATTTTGAAAAAAGTTAAGAAATTTTGGCCCCAACTCGATATGGATGGCACTATGAATATCTGGATTTTGAAGCCCGGTAATAAAAGCCGAGGTCGCGGTATCATCCTCATGAACAAATTGGAAGATATAATTGCGAAAATCACTCCGACTAATAAGACTACGGATACGCGCTTCGTCGTGCAAAAGTACATTGGTCAGGCAGTATTATATATTATAAATTTTTCATCCCAATAATTTATGTGTATTTATAAATATTTTTTCCATTTTCAAACAATTAATTAATATTTTTATGTTCTTGAATTATTCAGAGAGACCCCTTTTAATTTACAATACTAAATTTGATATCAGACAATGGTTTATCATCACAAGTGCCCAACCTTTGACACTCTGGATGTACAGGTATAGAGAAAAAAAAAGATTAAACTCGATTAGAATCATTTATCATTTTTAACAGAGTAATCCTTAATTTCAATTGTCTTTCAATATTATTGTGCAACATAGATTTTCACATATCTATGAATGAATAGATCATATTCACGATTAAATGTAGCTAAAGCATGGTTTTAATAGAATTAAAATGTTCAATGAGATATTTAATGACATAATCTACTTCTACTATAGCTACTTTGGCTTATAGATTAATAAACTTAACGCACAGTGTTAAAAAATTTCTAAAAATACTATATTTTTTCATTTATCTTTCTTTTCATAGAGAAAGTTATTTACGCTTCTGCTCCCAAAAATTTAGTTTAACTGATTTTCACGAATCAATCCATCTGACAAATAATGCAGTACAATGTAAATATAAGAACAGCCCCGATCGAGATGTTTCTTTACCGAATGAAAATATGTGGGACATCGCTGCTTTTAAAGAGTATTTAAAGTAAATACGATCCTATTTGATAAAATATCAAACTTTAGTAAATATACTATGTATTAATCTTAAAATAATAAAAAATCAGGTTTAAAATCCTCTTATATTGCCTTTTTGAATAGACTTCAGGGCGACGGAGATGCTTGGGATGAATTAATATATCCAGGTATGAAACAAGGGCTTGTCGGATCGCTTTTGGCAAGTCAAGAAGCAATGGATCGCCGAAAGAATAGTTTCGAATTATATGGTGCGGATTTTATGGTAATGGAGGATTTCTCGGTATGGCTTATCGAAATTAACAATCATCCCGATATGAGCAATTCCACAAGTGTTACTACAAAATTATGTCGCAAGGCTATGGAAGATACAGTGAAAGGTAAAGAGATAAATTTATCTCTTTTATTAACGAAATCGAATTAAAATAATTCAATGTCTAAATTATTTATTATGCTTACAGTTATTGCATTATATTTAATGAATCTTTGAAATAATTTTGTTTGTCTCTTACCAATATAATTAAATAAAATATTTACAAATTTCATTCAATTATCTTAGTAATAGAAATAAAAATAAAATCTTAATATAATATAACTAAACTAATATAACATAATATCACTAAAATAAAATTAATAAAATATTTAATGAATATATTAGTTTAAAATATAATAGTATATTGTCGTTACCTCAAAAATCAAATATAAAGTTTAAGTAAATGAAAGTTCTTGTTAACTTAAAATCTCTTATTAATAAAAGTTACTTCTACCTATATTTTTAACAGTAGTATATGCAGTTAATACATAATAGTATTAGTTTATTATTATAATACAAATATTATATTATATATTATAAACATTAATTATTACAGATTATTTGTAAATCAAACTCTATTATTAAATTTATAACCATTGTAGTCAACTGTAAATTGAAATAACCCCAAATATAATAACGTATGAACATTATAAATCATATTGATTGTTTATCCTATCAAGGCCATTTTACATCTATTATTATAAATTAAATTATTTTTTTATGCTTTCAAATAATCTTTATATGTCATTCAAAATATAAACTAAAATTTAATTCTCCTAGGAATTATAAATATTATATTATAATATAATTTAAAGAATATTGTAATTATTTAAAGTGGTCATCGATTATCGAAAAGACGCTAATGCAGACACCGGTGACTTCGAGCTCGTATATAAACAAAAGCTCTCTCCCTGTCAAGCTTATCTAGGCACCGGGCTCTCGCTCCACGGCACCCGTATCGTCTTAGGAGATAAACGTTCGAGTCTGGGTTCAACCATGGCTTCGGTAAAAAATCACATTTACAATATTGAACAGTCGATATTAATAAAATCGCTTACAATGTACACAGGTATCATTGGCTAAGCGAAAACCGATCTTGCCGGGATTCCCGGCATTGTCCGCTCAGACCCCAAATCGTGTCGGGCCAATCCTCGTTGACCTTATCGAGGAACTTGAACTCCAGCTTGAACATGAATTCTATGAATATCTCAAACTAAGATCAGCAAGTGGCTTATCGAGGCAGATTCTCCCTTCGGATTTACCTACTTGCGATATCAACAGCAGTATCGACCGAGAATTTGATTATGTTGACAGCGAAACCAATACTATTACCAGAGGCATCAATCCTCCGATTTCCAACTCTCAAACTACCCTCAAACCCCCTATCGTTCAATCGGCACTCAACACACAGAGGGTTCGAAATGTTTTTTTTTATATACTAAAATGTTGACTATACATCTGCTATATTGCTCACTAGCATACGACTTACGTATTAATACACGTACATCTTCTAATAGTATGTCGACAAATAGCGTCTTTATTGCTACATTTATCATTATAAAAACTTCAAATATCTGAAAAGCAATTTTCAGCTATAGAAGTGGGTTAATTTTTTTACACGTTGATTAATAAATTAATAATTTGAGAAATAATTATGATTTTCCTTAGTTTGGGCATCTTTCAATAGCTTATTTTATTTAACACACAGTATAATTTACAAAGCAAATAATTCAATGTTTTATTTATTTATTTAATAATCTATTTATTTAGTAATAAATAAAATATTTTTTTATGTGTTTCTGGAATTTCTCGATAAGGCCAGAATTAAATAGTGATGTTTTTAATTAATTATTATGTAATGTGTTTATTTGTTATTAGTATTAATTTTGTATAAAAATAAAATATATTATTCAATAGACATATTAATATTTTATAATTACTCAGAATATTGAAAATGCATACTGATTTAAGGTACATTTGCTTTCATTTTCGACGAAGATAGTAATTATTATTATAAATAAGATATATATAGAATAAAAATAAAATTTTCATGAAATGCAATTTACAGAATGCTACAGGGAAATTTTCAAAGAGCAATTTAAAAAACTCGTCCATATCAAAATCTGTAAAATGTAAGGTAAATACTTCTCAAGATAAAAATTCAGAATTATGTATTTTATCGCAAACATCCAGCGTAGATATACAAAAAGAATTGAATAAAATAAAATCATCAACCTCAAGAAAAACTGGAAAATTAAATCGCATTAGCAAATTATCTGAAAATATTGTGCGTATAGTCTTTACAATATATTATTTAAAAATATTCTTAAAATTCATCTATATTTAATATATCCTTTTAATATATATTTTTACAAACTATGCTGTATTTAAAACAAGTACAAAATTTAAATTCTAAATACTTTACAAAATTCAAGTAAATATATTTATTAGGATATAACAATTATGTAAGTAAAAATAATAATTAATTACTTCTGTATAAAAAAATATTTCAGTTGTTTCAATATGTATGAGGAAGAAGAAAAAGGAATTTTGGCATTTTTATTTCTCTTTAAGCGTCGTAAATCGTAAAGTACTTTGATTTTGTTGTCTTTTTGCTCCCTGTATCTATTATACACTATTTATCGCTTAATAAACATAGCAAAAACATTTTTGAATGATAAATATTAACATAAAGATTGAATCAGTAAATAAAAATGCTATAATTAATAGAAGGGAATGCATAAATAAAATATTTTAAAATGAATATATAATAATATTAGTTGTAATTAATTTAATTGACATATTGTGTTAAAATTATTATAATTAAAAATAATAAAGTTATATGCGTCAAATAAACAAAAACCTGATATGTATTTAAAGTTTTTATTAGCAGAGGTGAATTAATATAAAATTACAAAATTTGACCTTAGTAAATGCTTGTTTCAAATACTACTAAAATACTACTAAGTTGAAGTAATTATCTTTAGATTACTCTTAATATCTTATGACATTAATTATGATTTTCATATTTTTAAAGGTCGTCAATGTTGGGTCGTTAGAAGCAAGTGAAAATTCTACAATAAAATATAAAAAAATCTATAAGAAATCTCAAAAAAATTTAAGTAGCAAAATTATCCCTTCAATATCCGGTACATTCATATCATCAAATAAAGAAAAAGATGTAAAAACAACATTATTAGAAGGATCCAAAACTAACCAAATTAAAAAACGTGTCTATACAATAAATAATCAAATATTTGACGATGCAACAGATATGTATGCCGTTGGACTTGCCGTGAACAAATAACGATAAATCAAATTCTATTTTACTATTCTATTTTATAAAGACAAAACAATATATCTTGGTCTCCAAAATTTTAATTATTGTTAATTCTTTGTACATAAAATATTTATTTTAATAAACTGTATTAATTCAGCATTAATTTTTAATTATTTTTTTGTGAGTGTATATGATATAATATCAAGAAATTTATCTTTATTAACTTTATTAACTTTAATTATTATTTGTTTATTATATTGAATTATATACAACTTATACCAAATATTTTGAAAAATATGTTTGTATAAAAAAAAAGATTCGAGATAAAGATAATTTTATATTAATTAATCAATTTTATTATAAAAAATTACATAAACAAAATGTCAGAAATACATTTGAATAAGTAACCTTAATCCAATTTTTATAAAATAAATATAACGATTACAAAGAATTATTTGTATAAGGGTTCTTTCTGTAAGACATTCTGACAAAATTCATTAATAGGTATTTTTTTAATTCTCATATATTGTTTGATTTTTATTAAAAAAAATAAAAATTTAATTCAAACTTTTTTATAAATTTTATCAAATGAAGAAACTTAAAACAATAAAAATATACGGTATAGAGTTAAGGAAAGGTTAAAAAAAAATGTACAAAAGGTAATAAGATTTTAAAACTATAATTTTGGTCACAACTTATGATAATCTAAAACAATAAAGACTTAATATATATTAAGTTTATAAATAGATCCAAAGATTTGCAAATTGTATTTCTTGAAATAAGGGCTACAATAAACCTTGCATTTCTTGCATAAATTGTAAATAAGCATCATCTTTAGTCTTAACTTGCTGCATTGGTTTAGTAACAGGTGGAGGGTCTATAGGTATTCGTTCAGGAATTCTCACTGGAGGAATAGGTATAGAAGGTTTTTTCTTATCATCTAGCCTTTTCACACGTAAAGATGTAGGTAAGAATCTTGTAATGTCTGCTGCCAGATTTCTAATCTGTGGCTTAGCTTCAATTGTCGTTGAACTCTTACCACTTTCCTTATCTTTTCTTACATTAATTAATTGTGGTGCTGCAGAAAGCACATTTGGTGTTTTTTGTGCGTTAGATATAGTTGAAGCATTTGAGGGTACAGGCGGTGGAGGTGGCAAGCCTGGTATTTGGATCTGTAATCCTAAAACTCTTGGCATAGTCATTGGTGTACCCGTTCGTAATATACGTGGCATACCAGGAGGAGGACCTAAATTTATATAAAAATATAATACATACACATGCATTTCAAATTAATCATTTATAATAAAAATCAAAGATATTTATCAATACCTGGTGGGAGTCTTATTCCAATACGTGGTGGCGGTGGTGGAGGAATTCTTAAATGCAAAGGCGGAGGTGGAGGTCGATACATAAGTGGAGGTGGAGGCGGTAACCCCATAAGAGGCATTGGTGGTTGTGCATTTGAGGTATTTGTGGTCATTAAGCTACTCTGCATATCTGTATTGGATTTTTCACCTAAATTATCTGGATCACTATTTGTCGAATCATTTTCTAATAAAGATAAACGAGCGTTCAAATCTTGAGCACGTTCAGTTTCTCTTTTTTTATGTACAACTTCCATTTCTTTCATAAACTGATCAATATCTTGGCCAGCCATTGCTAACATTTTTTGTTGCAAACTTGTTGGTTTAACTTTAGTAATTTCTTTTTCTTTATCTCTATCCATATCTTTACCATCGTAGTCTTCTCTTTTATCATCTTCCATTCTATCATCATCAGCAAAACGAATAGTCCTTGATTTATGAGATGGCTTTATCTGAAACAATTAAATTAAATTTTATTTTTAAATTTAAGTAAAAGAAATTATAAAAAGGGTACACCCTTCATATTTACTTTATCATCATCTTCGTCGTCGCTGAGAAATAAATCGGGAGGAGGAAAAGGTGGAACTCCCGGAGGATCTCTATTTGTAGGTATTATGTTGACAACTGCCATTGCTGAATATATACTTGTTTTTTTCAAAATACTAGGTGGCACCGGAATATTAACAAGAGGATGATGTTGAGCAATATAATGAGAATGTGGTGGATATGAATGCAGCGGCGGTTGTGGCATATCCGGTAAAGGAATTTGTGATGTCAAAGAACCTATATATAAGGATTAAGAAAAATGAGATACAAAATTCTATTTATTAATATTTGTTAAAATTTCTTACCAGAGTATATTCGACTGATATCATTGCCTGTCGTTGGTAAAGGTATTTCATCCACCTGTACTTGTTGAGCATGACGTACTGCTTCAAAATAAGACACTAGCTCTAATCTTCTTCTTTCATATTGAATCATTTGATCTTTAAGTTCAGTCCACTTTTCTTGATCATCCTTAGCCTAAATAATAAACATAAACAATACAAATATTTGTTATAACTAAATATAAACAAATAAATCGTTATTGTCCACTTTTATTAATATTTTCACAATGAACCATATCAACCTAACAATGAAACAATATACTTACATACATTTTCAATACCCTATCTAAAGTTTCTTTCAACTTTTTTCGTTTGTCCTTTAAAACTTTTTCATTTAATGGCGGAGGCTGCATAACATTGTATTCTGTAAAAGATGTATACAAAGAAATAATCTAATCAGACCTGGACATTTAAATATTTTAAAATATATATCATACCCATTTGATCAATTTTTTCCATTTCTTCAATAATTTGACTAGGATCTTTTCCTTTCAATACAGCCGCTCGAACAAGCTGCCTTTGTTTCTTATTTTTCTTCAGCTCCTTCTTTCAAAAGTTTAAATACAATAGTCAGAAAATATTTATAAAATAAAATTTTCAAAATTATATAAATTTTGTTTTTTATTTTTATTTTTACTAACTTGCTTGATCAGTGGGATTCATATATTTTCCACTTTTTGTTGTATTTATGGAACGCCGACCCATTTTGATTGTATACGTAGATTTCAACAAAATTTAAACACTATCTTATAATAACTTTCGAAAACATAACCAGAGAACTACTCAAACAATTGTTGATGAGTTTAATGATGTTAATTATTCAATAAAGCATTGTACATTTATGTAAAAAAAATATAAAAATATTAATCTTCTTGCCAGTACAATATAAAATTAGTAAAATTAATAATACTAAAGCGGAAGATCTAAAACACAAAACTAATTACAAATATGCTTTAGGTTATCTTGGAATAACCTTTAATTTAGATCCTAACATTTTCCATCTTTTAAAATATGTATATATATGTACTATAGTATGAGTTAAACTATGCCGCCATTTCGATTCTGCGCATTATTGTCCCATGCAACATAATATGCGACATGAAAGCGGATTCTCAATGGTTTTTATAAGTATGCAAATCAAAGTATACAAATTGTAATGCATTAGAAGCATTATCATATATAAATAATAATCATTAACTAGAATAGGCGATTTATAAATGTCAATATTAATAAAAATATTAATATTCCAAGTTCACTTATAAGCAATGCTTAATAAATCGCACTTGTTTGTACTTTTTTGTTTAAATTGTACGTGTCTCTTTCTTTTTCTAATGAAGTATAACGATTGCAAGTACAAAATTCTTTCCGTATTACGTAATAGAACATGCAATACATATTCCATTCAAATAAATTTCCAATTTTCCTTTCTCTATTCGATATCGATTACATCGGTTATCATTGTAGAAAAACGTATATTAAGGAACCTTCATAACACTCATAATTATACCAACAATCATAATAGAGTACATATGATTAATTATTTCGAAAGATTAAAGCCGATAATGAAATTCAATGCTTTCAACAATTTATAATGAAATATAATGCTTATTACAATATGTTCGTATATGATGTTATTTCCTCACTCGAACTGACAGTGTATCGATAGCTTTACTAATTTGCCGCCCGCTCTAGCAGATGCTTGAGTGGGAGTCAAGTGGAAGGGTTATAGAAGGGTGTAATATGTGCAAACTTTGGTAACATATGATTTATTAACAGTTACATTTATAATAAGCAGGATTGACTTGTTATAGAAAAGTGTAAAACTCTGTCTTGTCTCAATGATGAGGTTGCTTCTTGATGGTGACGAGGTCGTGGCTTCTGTTGGTGTTGTAAGGACTAGCAGTAGTATGTTAACACTCCTGTGTGCTGTGATACTATGCTTGTTTGTGGCTGTTCGATTTTAAAGGTTTAGTTTATTATGGCTTGTGTTCGGCAAATAATTCCACAATCTGACTCGTCAGCCAAACGTGCAAAAATCAACTTAGAACAAAAAACCCACTAGATGTTGTGTGGGGTTGCCGGACAAGTAAAGGGTTAATGCATCGATTCAATAATTAACACATATCTTTATTATTGCTGTTTAATTCATTTATTTTACTTTATTTCCAATGGGAATCATGAACCTTGGTGAAATTACAAATGATCTTTATATTTCTTAATAATCTTGTGGTGTTGATATATCTGTTTATTGGAGAACTAGAGGATAATCAATTTCTTATTCTCTGCATATCACTGGTGAGATTATGATTTACTGTAACAAGAAGTAGGTTATAATCTATTGACTATTATCACTTAGAGGTTATGGTTATTGTAGTGCTCTGATCGAACATTACAATATTATTGTGTTTCAATTCAACACGTGTGCAGTTGCCCCTAAATATAGGTCGTAAGAGAGCCTAAATAGAGGTTATGCGAAACTGTGCACCACCTGTGGCCGGAACAACTTATCGTTGGAGGGATTAAAAAGCCACTGTGGCGTCTGTAGCTGGTCTTGTCCTAGAGTATGTCTCGGAAGCTTCGATAGTTGGAGCTTTATCCGTCCGTTTTCTACTTAAGCCGAGAAATCAAGAATCAATACTAGCTGTAAGGACTTACTTGCAGTGTATCGTGATTTTTCCAGTCTCTCTTCGTTGGCTTGTTGTGAAGTTCCCTTGCAATGTTGCAACTCTTAAATTCTTCCTTATCTCCACGTGAGACTACAAGTGGTCAGGTCCTATGCAATCTAGTCTTGATGAGATCAATTCAACTGTATACTAATTCACAATCGTAGAAAGAACTTCTTATTAAAAGTCAGCTAAACGACTTGTCTCTCCGGTCCTCCTCCGTGAGAGTAAGTCATGACTTATCCTTCAAATGTGTGAAGTGTTTGAAAAGAATAAGCGAAGGTACATTACGTTGTCCCTTCTTAAATGGTTCACTAGTCCCGTTCCACTTGGGACCCCTTCTTCTTTTATTAATTAACCAATCAGAGGTTGATCTTGGGCCACACAATAGATTATGCACGCCTTCATTTCCATTTCCTTCCGGGCTCAGTCCAGAATTTGCTAATCGGGATAGTGTCGGAAGGTGGCGAGCCTTTTCCATTGGTCACCTTTTCTTAGTGGCCTCATCCCTCTCTGGGACTAGGCTAGACGAAGGATCCACTTGGGCGTGGTCAATTTTCCAATGCGATCGACCAGATGTGGTATAGCCAAAAACAATGCAAGCATTGTCTTAAAGGCCGAGGGCGCACGTATGGTCATTGCATGTTGTTACACGTGCAGGTTTTGATATTGATATGCATATCTGATATTCGTTCTGAATCTACTTTGGGGTTCTCCCGGCAACAAACCCATTAAGTTCTACTGCACTGGGAGTATGAACACGTTTCGCAAAAGTTTTCCAGAGGTTTTATGATACTAGTGCAAAATAATTATGAGCAGGAAAGTTTTGAAGTCTTAAATACAATTTTCATGATATTACTTGCCAGATGTTTTATTGTCTTAAAAAAAGAGTCTCACATTCTCAAACAGCTTGAACTACCAATTCAATAGTTCAGTGGATTAGACTCTCGTCAGGATAACTTTAAAGGAAACAATAAGTGAAAGGGCTGAAAAATATTATGTATTTTAGTAAAGCAATGTTTATTATTTGTTAATAATTATAATAGTAATATTGCAATGTTGTTGAGAAAGGATTATTCTATTGTACTAATGAGGGTGTGTCCTTGTATTTTTGATTATCGTAGATTCTAATGTTGTAAATATCAGCCGGTGTAGTCAATCATGCTCATGAGGTAGAATGAGAGAAAGAGTAATCACAAACAAGAGTAATTATTGATAAGTCTTTGTTCGGAAATTACTTCCACAATTCAACTCGTCAGCCAAACGTGTAATAATCAACTTAGAACAATAAAACCCACTAGATGTTATGTGGGGTTGCCGGGCAAGTAAAGGGTGAATGCACTGATTAATAATTAACACAAGTCTTTAGTATTTCTATTTATTTAAATTGAATTACAAAGGTGAATTACAAATGAACTTGGTTTTCTTAATAATCTTGTAGTGTTGAAATAAATTACTTATGTATGAAGCAGGTTATAATCTATTAAATATTATCACTGGAGGTTATGATTGCTGTGGTGCGTTAATTGAACGCGGCACTGTTGGCAAGGTTAATTCACACGTGTGCAGTCAACTCTAGTGTTGGGCGTAAGAGCGCCAAGTAGAGGTTATGCGAAGTGTCCGGGAAGCTTGCGAAGTTGGACATTAATTCGTCCTTCCGTTCTTAAGCCAAGAAATCAAGAATGAGTACTAGCTGTAAGGACTTACTTGCAGTGTATCGTGATTTTCCTTGTCTCTCTTTGCTGGCTTGTTATTACGTTCCCTCGCAATATGGCAATTAGAAGGTTCCTTTTGATTCTCAATCAAGGTTGCGAGTCGTCAGATCCTATGCAATTTAGTCTTGATGAAATTAAGTCAACTGTATACTATTTCACAATCGTAGAAAGAACTTCTTATTCAAACTCAGCTAGCTAAAGCGACTTGTCTCTCTGGTTTTCCTCCGTGAGAGTGCTTCGTGACTTATCCAGTACTGTAAGGAGTATTTGGAAAGAGTAAGTGATTTTCTCGTTGCGTTACTGTTTTCTATCTTCAGCGCTTCACTGGTCCCACCCCGCTAGGAACTCCCTTTTCTATTAATTAACCAATCAGATGTCGTTTTAAGACAGCATAATGGATTATGCACGCCTTCATCTCCACTTCCTTCCGAGTTTACTTCCGAATATGCTAATCAGAGAAGTGTCGGAAGTGGGGAGTTTCTGCTATTGGTCATCTCTTCTTAATTGCTTCTCCCTTCTCTGGGACTTGGCTAGATGAAGGGTCCCCTTGGGCGTGGTCAGTTTTGGAGGCGACCGACCAGATGTGATTGACACAGAAGGCAATGCATGTGTTGTCTTAATAAGCCTAAGCGTTAATGCAAGTTGTAGCACGTTTGGGACTTTTGGGTTGTAATAAATGAAGAAGTGTTTTGTACTCGATATTTCATATATCGAGTGGTATTCGTTTGGAATTTGCACGAAGGTTTTCCGCAATAAACTTATTTTCTTCACTGCTCTGTAAACAAAGGGCACGTTCCACTGGAGTTTTCCAGATGTTTTATGACACTAGTACAAATAATTGTGAGCGAAAGGATTTGAATGCTAGTGTGAATTTTACGATATCGCTTGCCAGATGTTTTATTGCATTTTACTTTCTCGCATTCTCAAACAGTCTTCGTGCTCTTGAAGGACTTAATAAAATGTATTTGTAGTCAATTATTCAACATATTATTGTCTGGTCTTGACAATGTGTTTGAAGAATTACGTCACTTGTCTCGACTCTTATGGGTCTGTACTGGATCGAAGCGTTGGTTCGAAAGAGAGACTGTAAGTTTGCCCGATCGACTGATGTCGGCCTGTACGGGGTCGAAGCGTTGGTCGAGAGAGAGACCGCAAGTCCGTCCGATCGACTCCTGTGCCAGGTGTAACTAGCTTATTTATTAATATAAAAAAATGTCACCTTGTGAGCTGCAGACAAGGTGTGTTAGTTGCTGCGTAATTGATGTCCCCTTTGATTACTATTCCAATTGGCTTCACTGTAAATCACTACTAAATCTGCCGATTTCCTTTTAATACTGCAAACGTACATTATTTACTAGGCTGTCGAATTTATGGCCACGTGTCGTCGTCACAGTATATACGAAAACACATAGCGTCAATTACAGTTAAGTGAGTGCGAAGTAGGATTACAATGAGCGT